CAAGCTGACAGGGAGGAGAACTTTTGGTAAAAAAAACAGTTATCCTCCTCGGTAATCTCCATCCGGAACCCGGTTATTGACAGCTGCGGCCACAAATGGTAGGGCGCGCATACGCTTCACGCCCATCCCCTACCCGGAAATGCAAAATCACGTGATTTTGCACACCCGTGCCGCCCTGTAGCAGTATTTCTGCTATAGGGCAGTTGGGAAGTGGTTAATGATCATTTGCCTGAACTACCTACCAATGGTTTAACGAGAAGCAGGGAGTCTCCTGGATTTAGTAAATACAAATAGGGAACCTGATGACCTAAACTCAGCACATACGTCAGCCTTTGGTTTAAGCAGATCAAGGTCCTGAACAAAAGGGTCCCATTCTCCCAAGTTTGTTCCTGATGTTAAAAAGGGAGAATTCTTCAACTTCTCCAAGCCTGACAACCTCTTTTCTAGGAATTCAGCAGGGTGTCTTCCTAAAGCAGAGAACCAATCGCCTCATTTGGGGAGGGGTGTTTAGGCGGGGAACTCAAGCTATGACCAAATCCCTTGCAAGTTATACCATGGTCAATAACCTTCCCTAGGTACATGGAGCAGCCTAGCCAGTAGTAGATTAATATGCAGAATGATATCCTGAACGTCCAGACATCAAATATGCCATTTCTTACTAATTCAGCTAGAACTATATGGCTTTCTACTCTCCTGTAGACTTTAACTAGGGGTGTAAGGTATCAGGTGACTTGTATTAAAATGACCTCTCGGAACATATGCTTTGTTTCATTGTAAGTATTTCCTGTCTTAAATTATGCAATTGTATGGAAAAGTGGTTTTAAATGGGATGCATGTTTTACTGCTATCTCGGAATGTCTTTTATGTCCAGTGAAGGACTGGTTAATAGCTTTACGATCATCTCCAAGCAAGAGTCTCACAGACATACTGGGCCCAGGCTAATTGGGGATTACAACCATGAAGGATATCCAGCTGTGTCCTGTGCACTCTTGAACCCAGCACACAAGGACCACGTGTCACTCAACAGAGGGGGGGGGGAGCTGATTTGGAGTAAGGAATGATACAAGATGGAGGGTCTTTACCAAAATGGATGTTCGTGTCCATATTTGTGCGCACGATTGCTACAGTGAGAAATTTTCTAGCCTAAAGAGGGTAGGGATGAAAGATACCAGAATGGCTTGAAGGGGAAATGTAATTTTGTGTCATCCTCCTGTTGCAAAATTTCTCGACTTATCCAAAGAACCCCTTTCACGCAGCAGTGGCAGAGCTTGCTTGTATATTGCTATGGAATATTTTCTGGGTTCTAAGTTCCCATCCCACAAAAGAGAATGAACATTACACAAGTGAACAGTACAGAATTATGAGTAGCCACCCCTGTCGCTAAAGCTTATTGAGAAATATATTCCATAAACTGGTTTGGCTGGAGTTTTGATACTACTGGTAAAATTCTACACATTCTTCTCTGTCATAATCATTATGGCCTTTGTCAGCAAGTTTTTTTGTTTGGCTCAAATGAGTTATGATTCCTCATACAAGTATATGGAAATACAAAACCTGCTGGAAGCTGGTCAAATTCAGGTCAGAAGGAGATCAACTGCAGAACAAATGCACCTGGCATTGAATTCTGAATAATCTCACAAAAGAATCAAGATGTTGTCAAACTGATACCATGGGCACAAACCAAAGCTCATTGACACTCTGTGGGGATAACCCCAGCCAAACAGCTACATACAGATAGATGGGTCAGCTGCAAAGTCTAATTCAAGTTAAAAAAAGAAAAACAGAAATCTATTTAATGAGAACTGTAAAAGTAATTGTATATTCTGTATATAACTGTATTCTATTTTGTATGATTTGCCTGTGTATTGCACACTGCAATCATTGTGCATGCGCCACTAATAATGTTTTCATTACATGTTTGCATTCTTATTTCTGATTAGAAATTAGACTGCCTATGTAATGCCCCTTGTTACCATAAAAGTACAATTGCAATATTAATGTGATACCTATGTAGTCATGTGTATAAAAGACTTTCTATTGTGTCGAATAAACAGAACAGTTATTTGGAAAGATGCTGAGTGTATCTTTTTTGTGTCTTTTCCCTACTGCAGTAGTTGATAATTTGGAACCACTAATCAATATGAGGACAGGAGTTGCCCATCTATAAAATTTTCAGAACAAGAACAAACTATTTTCTTCTAGTAGAGTGGGGGAAATCATACTAACGGTTGATTTTTTTTCAATAAACATGTTATGTTATAGGTTTCTGCTCTGTTCAGTGGTTTTGCACAGAGCAACCCCGATCTACCTTTTCTTGGGTCCCGTGGCACTCCTAGCTTCTCCTCCTTTACCAGTACCCACAATAGCAAGGCGCTTGCTATGGGGGCACTGGTATGTGCTCACTCCCAAGCCTCGCTCTATGTGTCCATAAGACACATAGAGCCACGGTTCGGCCTCACCTCCTGCTCTCTCCTCAGGTGCTGCCAAAAAAAATGTAAATCCAAATTACTAAACAATTTGCCACACGTGAAAATGCAAAAAATAAATAAAATAACTGAACAACACCAAAAAATATAAACAATGTCTGATGTATCAGTAAGTACCATTCAAATGATATTTACTTGAAAACCAAACGATAGGTGAACAGGGGCTGATGCCATTAGTAACAGAAAAAACAGGAGCCGTGGTTGCTGTTGGTGGCAACACTATACTTTCACAAGTACTGTATATGCACTGCTTACCGCTGGTCCAGCAAGACCAATGATTTTCCCCATCTCCTCGCCGATTGAATCTGGAAGAACATGCCGAATTTTCGGTATACACCCAACTGCATTTGGGACCTGATCTGGAGAGGCTTGGTGCTCTGGGGCAGATATCAATGCTGAAGACCGGCCCTCTTCATCCTTCAGGTGACCCCACATGGATTTGCACTCACCACAATGGATGGACCTTCAATTACTAGATAGGTCTAACTGTGCTTTTTTTGGTTGAACCCGCTGTATGTCTTCTCAACAACTTGAGCATTCATATGTACCAGGATGCGATTCCTTCCCATGCAATACACCACCACTCAAAAAACAGTATCAGTTGGCAAAGCAGCCGATTTTATTAAATCATATAAAACCTAACAATAACACCACACTCACATGTATATGTGCCTAAGGACCTGCACTAGGTACATACAGCGCTTGTGGTTAAGATGGATCCCACCGCCCCGAGACCAGAAGCTGACTTGTGCTCCACGGATGGGACATGATGTGATGTATTAGCTGGGGAACACTGTTTCAATTAGTTTTGTCTGTAATTGGACATCTTTAGGAAGCTAGTGGTGTAACACAGGTTTTTTTTAACTCCATGCATATAATTAATGAAGGTAAAATACCTTCAGCCTTTGGAAACACATTAAATTGGTATCTGCATCCTATTTGGAGAAATTCTCTCTTCCTGTCACAATGATGGGTGTAATACGAAACAGCAAATGAGGGGAAATCTCCTCAATGGGGACATGGACAGCAAATGAAACCTAAAAAAGGTTCTAACTACTCCCTGCTCCATCTAAAACTTAATAGGGAAAATATTTTTTGGCTTGTGTTGGGATTATTTGCCCCCTCCCATCCATGAGACAGCCAGTCAGTACATGTGCCTCATACAAAAGCTGTCCCCAGTCACCACCAGATCTGGAAATATTTTAGTAGCAGACTAGCAGTGGTCTTGTGAAGACCTACTGGATCACAGGTATTGAAGGGATTGGGTTTTTAGGTAACAACAATGAGGAGAGTTGACCTAGTGTACCCAAAGCCCCATTCTTGTTTTATTTTGGATAATTTGGTGAAGAATTGGAACCACTGTCAGAATATTGTTTTGGGATTTTTTATTGCTTTCTGCATCCTCTCTTCCTTTCGTAGTGATGGGTGTCTTATGATACAACAAATTAAGGGAAATCTTCTCAACAGGGACAAAGACAGCATCTGAAATCTAACTAAGGTTATATTGACTCCCTGTTCTATCTAAAACTAAATGGGGAAAAACATTTTGGCTTGCTCGAGTTGGAATTGTATTCCCCTCCCATCCTTGAGATAGCCAATCAGTGCTTCTCCCTCGAGACCTACTGCGTCACAGGTATCAGAGGGGTTGGTTTATTTTTAGGAAGCGAGGGGGGGGAGGGGAAGGAGGGGTAATTAACTTAAAGTGTATCTGAAGCCAAATTTCGTATTATTTTGCATAGAATGGGGAAGAGTTAGAACCCCTGTCAGACTTTTACTGCTATCAGCGGCCCCATTGGGGAAATTCCTTTCTTTTCCTGTTACAAAGAGTGTCATAGGGGACAGCAAAAGAAGGAAATCTTCCCCATAGAAACACAAACAGCCCTTGGAACCTAACAAATGTATTATCCATGCCCTGTGATATCCAAATGTAAAGGGGGACGGGAGTTGAGACCCACAGGTACATGAATTGTGTATAATTTCAGTTTTACATTCTTCCTTTGCATTGGCAGAGAAGCCATTCTAGGACTTGACATCCTCCCCCTTCAAAAAGTTGTTCCTGTGTCCTATTGTTAAAACGGTTTTCCCTGACTTCAGTAAGAATCTCCTGTGGCATTTATAGGATTTTTGTTTAGTTTGTTTTCTTGCTTGTTTTGTTTTGTCTGTTACCCATTAATCTGGATGGGAGTGGAAATCTCCCACAATGTAAACATGGGACTCAGTAAAATGGTGACAGAGGTCCCAATCTTTCTCCAAAGGTTTAGCATAACAATCAGACAATCATCATTTTTCATGGAGTCCAGCAATAACAAACATTTGTATTCATCTCCTGGCAAGTTTAATTCAGCAAAAATTTTGTTTAATTCTGAAACAATGTAAGAGGATGTGCAAAGTACAGCATGGCCTATAGCAACCAATCAGAATTCATCTCCTAACTGATAGAACTACATGTAATTGAACTGCGTGGTTGCTGTGGGTGGCAACACTATACCATTCACAAGTATGTGCACTGCTTACCGCTGGTCCAGCAAGAACAATGATTTTCCGCATCTCCTCGCCGATTGAATCTGGAAGAATCCGTCGAATTTTCGGCATACACCCAACTGCATTTTGCACCTGATCTGGAGAGACTTGGTGTTCTGGGGAAGATATCAATGCTGCAGACCGTCTCTCTTCATCCTCCTCCTTTTCTTCCATTGTTGAGCCCTAAGTACCGTCTGTATCCAATGTCTGGAGAGCAGCTAAACCTAAGAAAACAGAAGTTCTCCTTTTAGAGATGAGCCATACTTTATTGAGTCTTATTTCACATTGTAATATTATAAAAATAAAGCTCATCAATGTTTGTGTAGCACCCTCCTAGATAGCTAGGGGGAGCTAGACTCCAATTGTTAGCTAGGGCTGAGTAGCAGCCTGGGAGTAATAAGCTAGCAGGAGTCAGTTCATGGTCAGAGCTGAGAGGTTCTGCAGACCAGCCCTCCGGAATTTCCCCCTGCTCTAGAACTTTGGAGAAAGGTCTAGAAGCAGTGGGTGGAACTGAGGAATGGCTGATCTGCACTTTTGAGAGAGCCTGGCCAATCACCAACAGGAGGCTTGGCAAGGAGCTAGGAAAACCCTTAAAAGTGATTGAGCTTGCTCAGCAACAGGAGAGTTTGGGTGGAAGAGAGAGAGAGAGATGTGAGAGGCTAGAGGCAGGAGCCTGTGAGAGGGCCCAGATGAAGAGGGGCTCACCTGCAGGCAGAGGACCTTGGAAGGCTGAAAACTTGGGACTTCATGGCCCTCTGAGAGAGGACCACCTGTGTGGCAGAGAAGGAGCAGCCCAGCTAGAAGGCCTGATAGCAGCCACCAACCCACTGGCAGCACAGGAGAGGGACCAAGATAGTAAACCTACACCCCCTGGGCCAGTAAGAGGATTCTGGTGGGAAACTGGATTAGTTTTTTACCCGGTACCCTTCACACTGTAGTGGCAGGCACTGGATCCCCTGCCTAGAGCTTCACGCAGAGTTGCTGGATTAAGGAGGATCTGGGGTCTGGGGTGGTACAAAAGGAGAGGTTGGCTAGCTCTCCAGAAGAGGATTTTTGCTGCAAAGACGTGTAAATAGTTTCAGGAAGTTTGTCCTTAATTCCAGTTTCGTTGGGCATCCCGTACATTCCTTACCCTATCCAAGTTTTATCATTCCCTAATAAACATCAAAAACAAGCTAAAGGACTGTCACTGTCTCCTGATTGCAAGTCTGAATAGAAAATGCGTGTTGCCTGGCTGTGCAGGACTATAGGGGACTCAAATCTATTGCAACTCCTAAAGGGGTAGTGCTACATTTGTAATGACAGGTCATCTCCATCCAAAACTGACACTTTCTTTTGCATGGATACTGGCGAGTACAATCACATACTGACTTCTTATGTACAGTATCTTAGGGTCTCAAATGGTGAAATGTCTGCTTCAGAATTGCCAGTCCTGCCCAAATGTTTTCTTCACTGTCAACCAAGGTCTCGTGCACACTGAGCGTTTGCTGAGCACCTTTTAGTAGAAAAGCTGCTAAAAAAAATGCACCTAAAGCCACATTTTGCACACCCCTTTAGGCACATCAAGTGTTTGAGTGTTTATGTATTCCATTGGCCTGAATATTACCATATTTTCGCTCCATAAGAAGCACCTGACCATAAGACGCACCTAGGTTTTAGAGGAGGAAAACAAGAAAAAAAATATTCTGCACCAATGGACTGCAGACATAGTACAGGAAATGACCAGAGACTGTGGACATAATACAGGAGATGACAAGAGACTGCAGACATGGTACAGGAGATGACAAGAGACTGCGGACATGGTACAGGAGATGACAAGAGACTGCGGACATGGTACAGGAGATGACAAGAGACTGCGGACACGGTACAGGAGATGACAAGAGACTGCAGACATGGTACAGGAAATGACAAGGGACTGCAGACACGGTACAGGAGATGACAAGAGACTGCAGACATGGTACAGGAGGTGACCAGAGACTGCAGACATGGTACAGGGGATGACCAGAGATTGCAGACACAGTACAGGAAATGACCAGAGACTGTGGATGTACTACAGAAGATGATCAGAAACTGCGGACACAGTACAGGAGTTGACCAGAGACTGCGGACATAGTACAGGAGAAAACCAGTAGACTGCGGACATAGTACAGGAGAAAACCGGAGACTGCGGACATAGTACAGGAGATGAGCAGAGACTGCGGACACAGTACAGGAGATGACCAGAGACTGCTGCAGACATGGTACAGGAAATGACGGACACGGTACAGGAGATGACCAGAGACTGCTGACACAGTACAGGGGAGATGACCAGAGACTGCAGACATAGTACAGGAGATGACCAGAGACTACAGCGGACATAGTACAGGAGATGACCAGAGTACTGCGGACATAGTACAGGAGATAGCAGAGACCGGACACAGTAGGACTGCGGACACACAGTACGGGAGATATAAAGAAAGGGAGTGCTGTTGCGCTTAAGAAAAAAATCCACGAACCAAAAAGCTATATAATAAGAAATACAGCAGCAGTCCTAATTAATTGTGAACTCATGTACAGAAAATTATATATTTCATATAGACCGCACTTAAGGTCATTCAAACAATCAACTAAGTAGCAGTGTACAAATTATAGTGATAACAATGGACAAAAACGTGTTAAACATTGGTAATTCAGTCCCAACGTGAATTTAGTGCAGTAGTGCTATATCCTTAACGGTGAACCTGCGTACTGAGGTGACAAGTGCTTCACTGTGCTCACACTGGTGCCCCACATGGATGTAAACTCACCGTCATCCCATGACCACCTATCTCTAGGTTGGTCAAATGTGCTTTTGGGACAATCCCAGTATGCAACGTGGTATTGTTGGCTGGTATTCCTTCACACCCTTAACCGTGGTTGCTAGTGGTAACCGGTGACCCTCCACTGGGGCTGCATCAATAACAGAAAGCTCCTCTCCTCCACCGGCAGTAATTCATATTCTCAGCATAAAATAAAACAAAACCAGACATCCCATAGTGTAAAACCATAAGAGCTTTAATAATGGGGTCAAACAATAAAAATGGCACTCACAAAAAAAGTGCCTTTCCTGGCACTAGGTGTATTCAGCCTTGTTGTATATGAATGGAAGTTAAAATGGCCGCCACGTTGTGTATATGTGTGTGTGTGTGTATATATATATATATATATATATATATATATATATACATAGTATACATCAATATTTGTAACTATAGAACTGTTACTATGCACAGACACACCAACATAAATATTCTAAGAACTTTTTCATTTCCTTTGTAATGTTATTTAGTTTTGTTTTTTTGCTTCTTATACAATATTCTTTTTTCAGTTTTTTTTTTTAAGTAATGCTAGTGCCGTGTTTTATTCTTTTTATTTTGGAGTATATATTTTCTGCAACACACACCACAGTGGCTAAATGGTTAGCAATTCCACCTGGCAGTACTAGGGTCATTGCTTTGAATCCCAACCATGGCCCCACCTGCCTGGAGTTTGCATGTTCTCCCTGTGCCTGCATTGGTTTCTTCCAGGTACTCCGGTTTCCTCCCACACTCCAAAGACATGCAGGTAGGTTAATTGGCCCCAGTATGTGTCTGTATGAATGTAAGTTAGGGACCTTAGATTGAACGCTCCTTGAGGGTTACGGACTGATGTGAATGTACTATATTTATGTAAAGTGCTGTGTAAATTGACCGTGCTATACAAGTACTTGTAATAAATAAAATAAATCAGTGTGAACCAGGGCTGAAGGAAATCAGCAATATGTTACATTTCAAATTGGATTTGATTCAAATTTTGCTTCGTTATTTTGGATTCGTTTAAATTAATTGTTATTGCAATTCAGAAATTTGGATATATCCGAATCTCTGAATAATGGAAATTTAAGCCGAATTTAGATTCGGAATAAAATGAACCGCACATGTCTAGAAATAAACACCTATCTCTAGTGTCATAGGATAACCCACCTTTACAAAAACAACCCCCTTCCATATCCTATCCCCAATCCTAATGCTCTGAATGCTGCTGTTACTGTGCAAAATACTGCTAGGAATCTAGGTTTAATGGAAATACATAGCCTTACATATTGGTAAATGGAAAATTGCATTCTTGCTTGGTGGTAATTTTCCTTTTCTGACACTGAAACATGATGACATACACACATGGGTATGTCTCCGGACCCCACCCAGTTATAGGATTGGTTATACTATAAAATGACCAGCCATCACAAGGTGCATTCTCGTTACAAAACTCAATGCAAAGCCCTGCGAGGGATTTGTATGCGGCCATGCGTCAAGGCACATCTGGATAGTCTGATGAAGATTCCTTGGCCAACTGCTTTGGAGGTAAAGGAGGACTTTAAACAGACTGTTTGACTGCTTGATTAGACTAAGGCTGGCCATACATTATACAATTTACTTGAGAATTCTGCTTTAGATTTACCAAAAAACATATAATAGGAGGTCAAAACTGACAACACTTTCAATTGTATCCAATTAGGCAGGCTCTTGCACTACATAATTGAAGGTAAATCTAAAGGAAATTGGGCAGTAATTGGACAGAAAATTGTATAGTGTATGACCAGCCTTAGTATCTGACAATAATTGACTATAGATGCTCAGTCATTTTCATCACAGTCAAAACATCTGCTCCTTGTCCACTGCTGCCTCTGCCATGCAGATTTGGAATATCATCTTGCCAGGAAAGCCAGCTATCCACAATCCCAGGCTGACCCATCTGGCCAGTCTGATGGAAACTCCTTGGCCAACTACTTCTGATGTAGAGGTGGACTTTTAAACACATGTAGCTGCGTGACTAGGGTTAGTATCTGATCATTATCGACTAGAGATGTTTAGAGTCAGTTTGATCAGAGTCAAAACATTGACTTTCTTTGCCTCCTTTTCCACTGATGCCTCTGACATGCAAACCTGGCATAGCAACTGGGCAGTCAAGCCCAGGGCTGCTGTTAGAAACCGTACCCATACAGCCAAACTGACAGGCCCCCCTTCCAAAAAACCCCCCACAGTTTACTATGCTTCAGTTATGAATGAACACAGTGAGTGATTGGTAGTGACCAATCATTGTGTTCATTCAGGAAAGGAAGGGGATGGTAAATGTGACATACCATACCCTTCCCCCACTCACCATCTTCCATCAAGGAT